TTCCATAAGTCACTGTGCTCTAATGACATTTTGTCAGATGCAAAACTTAAAAATAAAAGGAGAAAATTCACTTTTGACTTTATTACACCAAAAATGTCTGAATGATAGATGGGACCATTGCAGATATGGTGGTTGTTTGGTTCCTATTGTTAGTCATGGGTTATTTTGATCCACTGCAAAGAAATAGTGGGTGACTAGAATAGAAAATACTTGTCATTTTCTGGAGCTTCAGTGAAACACTAATCAAAGTAGCTGAGATTTTAGAGACCCTACTTGAATTTCTATCAATTTCTATCATTTCATGATCCCATTACTGGGAGGGTCTTAAGGATTCCTCTCTGCTGATTATATCTCATCTCCTATTTTTGCTTTGGGGAGAAGAAGAGGTCAATGACTGAAAAGAGATATTACCTTTTGAATTGGGAATACTGAAAATAATAGTATCCAGATCAGCTAGATCCCAAGAAAATTGTTTCACTGAACTTTTAGTAGTATGGTCTGCTCTGATGATTAAAAACCACAGTTTTTAGACTAATTGGGTCAGTTACAAACACACAAAAAAATCTGTATGGAGTATCCTGAAATAACATTTCCCATACTTAACTTTATTCCTATCTTATTCTCTTTGGTTACTCTTCCAGATTAGTTAATCTTCCAGATTAGCAGAATTTTGTGACCCAAAGAAAATTTAAACTAGATTCTAACATAAAGACAGAATGAAACATACCCAAGCTTGAAGGATCATTAGTTACTTTTGTCCTCTTAGTAGAATAAATTAGTAGGAATGAGGATGGGTTTAATTATTTAAAGAAGGTAAAAATGATGCTACCCTGTAGCTGGAGGTCTTGGGACCAGGGAAGAGGATAATAGTGCATGTAGGTAAACAGCTTCACAACAAAGTTCACAATGAACTTTGGATGATGTGCAAATTTTATCCCTAAAAAAACTAAATGGGTGATAAACTTGGTTGGTATTTCATACGTCAGCCAATTTCTCTGACCCACATCAATTAGGTTAACATTCTTCTCTGGCACTCTGGATAAAAATTTGGACTACTATATTTAACTCCATCCATTATTAATAGTCCTTGATTGCTTCTAACATTACTAGATAAACTGGGAAATCTGGAAGATTTTCTGTAACATGTAATTGTTGGAATTTCCTATATATTACCTAAGTCATGTTTTCTAATAATTATGGCTTTATTCTTTTTAACTTTAAATTCAATTTAATTGACATGTAGTGTGTTATTGGTTTCAGAGGTAATTTTGTGATTCATCAGTCGCATTTAACACCCAATGTTCATTCCATCAAGTCCCCTCTTTAATGCCTGTCACCTAGTTATCCCATCTCCCCACCCACCTCCCCTCCAGCAACCCTCAAGTTGTTTCCTATAGTTAAGAGTCTCTTATGGTTTGTGTCCTTCTGTTTTCATTTTGTTTTTCCTTCCCTTCCCCTATGTTCATCTGTTTTATTCTTTAAATTCCACATATGAGTGAAATAATATATTTGTCCTTCTCTGACTGACCTATTTCGATTAGTATAAATCCTCTAGTTCCATCCATGTCACTGCAAATGGCAAGATTTCTTTCTTTTTGATGGCCAAGTAATATTCCATTATATACACATTGCTGCTATAAACATTGGAGCACATGAGCCCCTTCGAATCATTATGTTTATATCCTTTGGATAAATACCTAGTAGTGTCATTGCTGAGTCATAGGGTAGCTCTATTTTTAACTTTTTGCGGAGCCTCCATACTCTTTTCCAGAGTGGCTGCACCAGCTTGCATTCCCACCAACAGTTTAAGAGGGTTTCCCTTTCTCTACATCCTCACCAACATCTGTTGTTTCCTGAATTGTTCATTTTAGGCATTCTGCCTCAATGAGATGGTATCTCATTGTGGTTTTGACTTATATTTCCTTGATTCATTATGGCTTTATTCCTAAAGGACACGTGATTAACTATTCTTTGCAGGGGCAAAGACTATAGTGTGTTCAAGCAAACAGTTTTTTGGCCCAAGACACTTCCCCAACCCCAATTCTTATTGACTGTCTATGTTTGTAGTGAAATGGAGTCAGAAAGTAAACTCAGGGCTATAGGGGTATATTTATCTTAGATATCAAACACTTAAAGCAGGATTTATGGAAGCCAAAGGCTGTGGGTCAATATCCAAAAAAAAAAAAAAAAAAAAAAAGCTGCACTGTAAACAAGTAAAGGACTTTCTGAGTTGTGAAGGAAAGGAGAAAGGAGACTGGGAAGGGATGGAGATGAAGATAAGGGGCAGGAAGATAAGCAGAAACTCTGGTTTAGTAAGAAAAAAAGTATATGTCTGAAAAAAAATAGAGTGAGAGAGGTCTGGGAAGGACTTATTCACCTCAAGAATCAACCCTAGAGATCCTTTCTTCCCTACCCAGCTGACAGGAATGTATCGTAAATATTTTTTCATTCTCACCCATGCTGTCCTTTTGGAGTAATTCTAGGACACTGAAATTTGGGGTCAATGCATCATAACACCAGAGACTGGTTCAGATACAAGTCAGGGGCAGTTATAACAACTGACTTTTGTAGTTAACACAATTTAGAGAAAAAGCAAATATATTAGAGCTCAGAACAACTGTAAGACTTTGCTCAATGTGAAGGAATATATGATGACCTGTTAAGAAACTTTTTGACATAATTCCCAAATCAGACAAGTGCTATTAATAAGGATTCAACTTTCTAGCAATACTAAGTTCTGTGTAATGACTTTAAGTTTCTCAAAGTGTTTCCCATTTATTATTTTATCATTTTATAAATCTACAGAGGAGTACAGTGAGTATCAACCTCATTTTACTAAGGCACAAGAGTTAAGTGATTTAAGATTTTAGAGGCAAAAGAAAGAAAAACAAACAAACAACAAAAACAAAAAACTTCTCTAGTTAAGTCACTATAATGTTGGGATTAGGATTTAGGTCCATTGGTTCCTAAATCATTCCTCTATTATACCACCCTACATCTGTGTCTTCTTTCCCAAACAAGTCTGTCTGGTCAACAGTGTTCTCACTGTTGCAAAAGGATTCAGTATCGCCTGGTTCTGATTAGGAGCTCCAGAGGTTAGGCGCTCCAAGTCTACTTTCAAGAAAAACTTCCCATACCCCAAGGGACACAAATCAGTTCAGCATGATCTATTGGGTTTCTCTGGTAGGCTTTCACTCTTGATAACAGAAAACATAATTTGATATACAGAGCTCAGATGAAACTATGACTTCCATGGTTCAGAAGTGAGTGACCAGACAGCCTCCATGGAGGTTTATTGTTTCATTAAGGCCAATCACATGCATGCTTCTTTCACTTTTGTTTTTCTCCTCAAACTGCCCAGCCTTGGGGATTTTAAAAAGCCCTGTTCAGTTTAACTCTGGCCCTTATGATATCTGAGATTTAATGACTTTCATTAGGATGTTATCTTAAATTCCGTGTATATATGAGAAACCATGACTTATGCATGGGAGTTAGAGCTTGGTGGGAGTTCCTAGAAAGCACATCTAAATCATGAAATAAAACATTAAACTCAAACACAAAGTAATTTAATTTCTAAAAGGAATGTGGTATTCAGATAAAAGAAACCATAATAGTACATTCATTTACTTTTATATGTATGAAAGTGTGAGGTTGTGCCGTCATTTTCAGGTATCAATTTTAAGTAATGCATCTTCCAGGCTATTTAATAATCATTTTTCCATTGTTCCATAAATAGATTATGTGAATACAAGCTGTTAAACTAAAAGTTACCTCAATAATATAACTGAATAAAACAGCAGGGAAATTTGAGAGGAATATACTCAGAAGACTAAATTTGAATACTGAATTGCCAAAATATATTCTTTGAAAATTCACAGATATAAGGCCATCTGTGATATACAAAAATGGACAAAGAAGTTGGTTAAGTCACATTTTGTTCAATGTATCATGGACCCGCTACAGCGACACATGAAAATGGAGACCCAAACATGTAGAAAATATACTAAGATGGTAGCCATCAGAGAACTAAAAAATGCAGAATATAGTCTCACCCTATGAAGATCTGGCTCACCCTGAAGTTGGTAATGGAATGAATATTGTTACTAAATTTAACCTTTTCAGTTCAACAGTTCAGAGTCCAAAGAATCTACCTGGTGCATAGATGATCTTGTTGGACTCCAGTCAACCACGTCATGATACATTTTCTACTTTACATTTGAAATGTATCTAGACACTCTGTTCTATACCATAAAATATGGAATATGTACTTAATATTTTATTCAGTATTTTATTTGATCTCAGATCTGAGAGTGTGTGTGTGACCATATATGTAAATACACACAAAGTGGAAGACTTCTCTTTTCGAAACAAACTTCTAATAACACAATTTACTATCCATCTGCCAACATCTTCATCATTATGACTGTCTTTAAGGACATCATCGGGTTGTGCCTCTGACATCAACAAGCATCCAGTATATCACCACACCATCAACATCAGGCAGTCTTCATTTTTATGCAATCACCTGATTCACTACCAATTTGATTCTTTTAGAAACCCAGTCTCTGGACCCATACTGAGTTTATGACTGAACCATAAGGTATTGAAAACAGAATCACATCCCCTTTCCTTTTTCCCAATGATCTTAACTTTTGTGTTCCTTTGTGCCCTAATAATCATATCTCTTCTGAATAGAAACAGTTTCATTGTTCAAAATGGAAACTATTTACCCCCCTCGGTCCAATTGTACAAAAATCTAAAAAAAATCTTGGTATTACTTAGTTTCCCTATTTTCACCAATGCAAAAATATTCTAAATTCAACATTTATGGACTATAGATTTTTCTTGTGTTTCTTTTGGTTTTATACAAGGTAATGGAATAGAAACTCATATGGGTCAAAAAAATATTACATGTAAACAACTTCACTTTCATATATAATGCAAAAAGCCAGAACCCAGTATTATTTAATGTCCTTCATTGTTATATCTTTAAATCTTACCTCTGCAGATAAATGTGAAAATCCTTAAATTGCTGGCCTCAGTGTTCCCATGTCAAGTGGCATATGCTCAGATTGGTGATCCTGCCAAAAGTCACAAGAAAACGTTTATGAGACAGAGGCTGATGGACGATTATTTTAATCCTGCATGTCCAGCACTGCCGGCAAGCTTGGTTTATGAATGCCTGCTGCTGTTTTAATGATAAGACCTCTTAAACACAGCTGAATGCAGTGCACCAATGGATTTTCTTTTTTTTTTTCTTCCCTAACTAGGATACTGATTATTGATCTCCACCTGGATGTTCCTATTGAGAACACGCCATTCACAAATGCAAGCAAAAAGAATTATGGTGCACACTGCATGGGTAGTTTTAATAACCTACAATAGGGACACAGTTTCCATGGAAAGGAAAGGAACAAATCCAGTCTTAATGAAGTATATGTTTACATGACTGAAAAGTTTGTGGACATTCTATGGGCCAAGCATTGGATAGTCCAGAGCATCTGGGTTTTGACTGGGTGCTGCATCAGAGTGAATATAGGACCCCAAGGATGTCCTATACTCCTACTCTAGGGAGGCTTCCAAGTTCTCCCTATCACTCTTGGAATAGAAGCTTTGCAGGTAAGAATGGGCAGATCTGACTACACTACTTAACTAGAGGGATTTGAAACCAGAAGTGGCTATACAGAAACAGAAAGGATATGAACCCAGTGGGAAACTCGAGAATTCAAAACCTGAATACAGGAGGGTGAAAAGTAGATACATGAACATCTCTAGGGACCCCCTGAAGCTGCTTGAAAAACCAGAGAAGCCTTAGGTCAGAATGGATTGTCTATCGGGCTTAACCCAAAGCCTGTGACCCTCCACTGACTAGGGTCTTTCAGACACATTCAGGGGTTCCAGGTCTTTCGCTGGTGGGAGGGTAAGGGAGACATGTTTTCAAATGCGTCTGGGTAACTCTGTAGCTTCATTCAGAGTAAGAGATATCCATTCACATGTTTACCACACATTTGTTTCTTTCACTTTCAGAACCAAGGTATTTTAAAGCTAGAAAACGTCAAACATAGTAATACTTCTACGGGTTTTTATTCTACCAGGGTATGAGTGTGCGTGTTAGTTTGTTTAATGCTAAGAGGAGACATAAATTTTATATTTACCATTCGCTAAAGTAATTTTTGGAATTATACACCTGATATTTTTATATTAAAAAAAAAGCAGAACTATGGAAGTAATTCTTCGATGGCAAGAATATATGCAATTGTGAAGATAAAAATGAGTGTATAAACTAAGGAAGCTCCCTTCAGATCAGGTCCACAGAGAACTCTCTATACCCTGCACAGCGCCTATCATGGCATTATCCATAGCACAGCTCCATGTATTTCAATTGAGGGGGAAAAAGTATTTTGTTGGAAAAATGCAAGATTACCAACTTTAGCAAAATACACTTACGTTTTTCAAATATGCTTTCTGAATTCTGTACTACCTTAACATTTTAAATGCCAAAGAGTCATTTAGGGTAGAATGAGCACTAGAATCATATTATTAAAGATGAAAATGTTTGGGCAAGTATTGAGGAAGGCAATTCTTGAATGTGAGTGTGCATAAGAAGTACTCAGAGGTTTGTAAAAATAAAGATTTGGCCCTAGTTCCTAAAGATTCTGAATCAAGAGATCTAGCATAGGGTCCAGAACTATATATTTTCAAGGAAGACAGATCACCCTAATACACCTAACCCAAAGATTCAGTTTGAGACCAATTTCAGACCCAGTTAATGAGAAAAACTTTTCTCTTTAACCAGCTCCTCCTTGTGTTTTCTGGCTATGGTTGAGATAAGCCAAACATTGAATTTAGCATAAGTATATGTAAGAGGAACAACAGCTGTGATATTTAAAAAGGGAATTGGCTTTTTAAAAATCAGACACTGCCAACAACAAAACAGGTAAGACTTATTTGGAGAGAGCTATAAACCCAAACTTGTTCCAGTTGTGTTGAGATGCTTTCTCCACAAATGAAGTTATTAAACAAAAAATAAAATAAAATTAAAAAGCCAAAGCCACACTTTCTCTCACATGTAACTATGTTGCTTTTTAACAGCTAATTACAACACCTACTTTGAGTAATACAGCACAGCATGAAGGCTTTTCGCCTGGAATCCTGGAATCACCACCACAACTTGCCTGCTTAAATAATTTGCAAATGTTATGTGTTCCCCTATGAGGCATTTGCCCTCATCCCATCCCCCCACTCCATACAGCTGTCATGGTATTTTTAAAGTTGGACACTGACTCATAAGGTTAAGAACCTTTGGATTGGTGGCCTAAGGATGTTGATTCTAATCCTAGCTCTGCTTCTAACACTTTTTGTGGCCATCAGCAGTAGACTTCACCTCTCTACACCTCAGTTTTCTCATCTGTGAAATGAGAAAGCTGAGCCAGAAAAATCTAAGTATTATTCTGGCTCCTCAGTTCTAGGAGATGCTGATAAAATGGCAACAACTGGGAGGACTGACATGGAAGGTATATTGCCATGTCCATTGGCTTAATCTCCTTATTTATGGGGGAGAAAAATAAAGCCTAGAGAGGTTTAACACTTTATAGTAAAACACTTTATAGTAAAAGATCAAGAATTGAATGCAGAATTTTAGCCTCATACATCAATTTACTTTTATTCTAATACACAAAAAGTTTATAAAGCTGAATTCCCAGCTCACAGTTTTACTCATTGACCAAGGGAGCATTTCAAGCAGGATTTTCTTTTCTTGGCTGGGAGAGGGGTTCAATGTGTCCTTTGGGGTTCTCTCCCAGGTTTTCACAGGGAGAGAACATATGCTCAGGTCCCTAGAGACCTGTGCTCCCACACTCACAGCTGTACGACAGACAAGAAAAAGCTGTCTACAAGCTTAAAAAAAAAAAAAAATAATCAGCATTTGCAAAAGTGCTCTGGGGTATCTCCAGGAAGTGTTCCAGGAGACTTGCTATTATACAATGATCACTAGGTTCTCTTCTTCTGGATCCTACTCCACATTCAAGCATTAATATTTTAGGTACATTACTGATACTCATTTACTCATCCAAAATTCAATTATCAGCAAGTATGCCTGGCAACAACAGACCAAGTCCTTGCTCTCATGCAGATTACTGCCCAGCAAGTAACTGTGCCTCCTGGAAGGCCTGTGGCACTCCTGCCAGGGTGGACTCAGGGCCAGGGAGAAATACTGCTTTCCCAAGAAAAAAACTCATGCTTCCTGTAAGTTGCCCTTTTTCAAATTTAAAACACAGCTCAGGAGAATCTCTATTACCTTGGTGTGAATCAGTTTATCCAAACAGCTTTTGTTGAACCTAATTAAGCATTAGACTCTGTATGTCTTTCTTCCTTCTTTCAATACCCATTTGCTTATCATAACCGTACTTATTCAATAACACCTAGATCAAATTCTCCCTGTTCAATCACTATGACTTTATCCCACCTACCTAAGAATGTGCAGAGCAACCTCATTTATTCCTCTCACACAGCACCTGAACTGTAGGAATTCTAGAACTTCACTACTGTACAGGAATTATAAGTCATTGAGTTTAACTTCATTTTATGCATGGGAAAGAGTGGTCTAGAAAGCAAGAGTTGCAGAATAACTGTTAATGAATTATTACAAATCAAAGGGAAAGAACAAGAGAGCAAAAAAGCATTTGCTCTGCACTAGTGTTCTTTGGAAGATATTTTAAGTACATTATTTCAACTGATTCTCAGAAACATCTTGCTCAGTATATATATTTGTCATATATATTTATATATAAGTAGATAACATTTTATATTATGTTATTAAATAATTAATAAATAATTAAAATTATAATTATAATAATACATATATTATATTATATTATATTATATATATATTATCATTTACAGATAGAGTAAGCAAGTATCAGAGTGAATAAATAACGTGAGCCAGGCCAAACAACTGCAAGCGATAGCTGGGAGAAGTGGGGTTCCAACACAGCTCTGCCTGAGGATAGCAGACGGTGCCAGAGGCAGTTCTTATCCACCAGTTCCCTCTACTTCCACATGGGAGTCACAGACATGAGAAGTCAAAGGACAGAAATTCACTGAGAAAGGGGATTTGGGCAGCCACGGCAATAAACCCCAGGTCCCCAAAAACGTGGTCAAGGACCTGCTTCTGAGACCAGTTCCCCAGAGGATGAAGAAAGGCATGAAAGTGCCACCTTTGTGGAAAAGGAAGTGAAGAAGACTGGTGGAATTTGCAAGTATCTGAGCTTCTGGCTGCTTAGCAGTCAGATGGGCATTGGTAATCACGTTCTAACTTCAAGCTCCAGGAATGACAATAGTGGAGCAGTTGGAAAATGTAAAATCTGCAAGTCTCCCCCTTGTATACACTACTCTCAGAGGGAACAGAGGATGTCCTGATCCTTATTTCAAAGTTTATCCAACTTATACACACAGCAGGTATTTGGCAGCTTTGCACACCAAAAGGTAGACAGGAATGGGACGTGATGGGTGAATGCACCTGTTCCTCTGAGGAACAGTAATATTCTGTATCTATTTCAAATGGACCTTTCCTAAATTTTCTGTAATGACAGCCCAAGTACCATTAAAATAATGACAGTAACCACACCTTCTGGCTATTTGGAATTTTTCACTTTACCAAGTATCTTTACATATACTGTTAATATCCACAAAAACTAAAGTTATCATTCATCCAATTTTTATTTATTTACATTTTTGAACCATTTTTTAACTAAGGAAACTGAAGCTCAATGAAGTGTTCAAGAGACATGTAACAAAGTAAAAACAATCAATCAAAGTTGAAGTTATTGAGGTCTTGCTATGGGCCATACACCATTGCAAAGGTCAGTTTGTAAGTTTGCATACTTAATCTGCATAACTATTGCATGAAGTAGGCATTATCACCTTCATAAAATGAAATAAACCCAAGGATTAAAGTGGGTAAAATGACTCACCTAAATCATACAGCAAGTTAGTACCAGAGCAGGATTCAAAACCAGACTTAAAGCCCACGTTCTCAACCAAAATCCGGCCTCAAGTCTTTAAATAAAGTAATATGATTTCC